CATAATGTGTCATCCATAATGAGAAGTTAGATGGGGGGAGATAAATGATGGTGGCAATGATATTGTTGCTTGTGTTGGCCGTTTTGCTTCCATTATTGACCATGGCACTTGACTTGATGGGTTTCTTTGGCATTTTGCCTTTGCGGGTCATGTAAGGCTTACTCATCCAAACTGAAATTTCTCCTATGACTAAGCACCAAAAGAGCCTCGTTTTTTTTTTTAAAAATTACCGATTTAGACTCGAGTATAAGGATTTTTCGACTGGAACGCTGATAAAGTACGGTTTCACAAACATTGCTTTGTTGAGGTTGGTTGATTGGAGAATCCGACACATATAGAAGCAAGTATGTTGAGCATCCGCGCATGACCTCATAGTCATAGAGCTACAAGAAGATGGTTGCCTTACAAAGCTAATATGGTCATGTTCAATGATGTTTGAATGTATAAATAATTGATTGTAAGAGAATTATATAAAATTTATTATTAAAATTTTTCCATCAATTCGAGTTATTGAAAGTGATTGATTCTCTGCAAAAAAATCATTTCATTCCCATTCATGTGGTACCAAAATTCACAAAAAAAAAAAATGGCTCTTGGATGTATTAGTAATCAAGGCGCAATTAGTGTTACATAATACTGATTTAGGAATTAACTCGTTTTCAAATTTCATATAATGCTAGCTGTACTACAATATTATTGGTGCATGCGTGTGAATTATTTGAAAATTAGTGGTGGTTTTACAAGATTTTATAAATGTTAATCATGCACAAAGCAGCACTAGTTTAGGGATAGCAATTGGTAGGCTTGAACTTTAACTAATTCGAGTTTTTATCAGTATCTATATTTCCACAAGTTTCGGGTAATGAATAAAAACCATACCCATATGATCATTCATTTCCGTTTCAATTATTTACGGATATCCACGAAAATAGTTTAATATATGTTTTTTTTTCATTTCATATACTGTGATATTATTTGTAGTATATTCACACTATACAAATGAAGAAGTTACAATGGTAATTCACCACTCAGTTAAGACCAATGTATAAAAAACGTAGATTCAATGGGGTTTATACTTGTATAACGAATGTCAAATATGTCGAGATAGAGAATGTCTATTTATAGAAAAAATACATATCTATGTATGATTGACGAGTTTGGGTTGGATAGTAGAAAACAAGGTCGGCTCATTATTTGTAACGTTCCAATTTTGGATTTTATCTACACATGCCACACGTAATTCATTCAGTTCAAGGTTGACACTAGCCACTAGGTAATTGCAAAAATTTGAACAGAATGAGTTGGTTTTGTTGAACTTCTCTCGAATGAATCAAATCTATTGTATCTTGATTCGCAGTGGCAAAGCCACGGTGATGTCAGAAGAGGCTATAATCCCCCTTAACTTAAAAAATCATGTAGAAGTACATGTAAATTTTGTAATAAATTTAGAAAAATATTGTTGCTGATAAGCGTTTAGCCCTCCTCGTCGGTTCAAATCCACGAATCATAAATTTTTAGCCTCTTGTTCAGTATTCTGGCTCCGACATTGTCGATCCGGTTTGAGGAGATCGGATTCCATAGCCAATAGTGCATGAATAGAACATAATTTGTGTACATATATAGAGCTAGCTAGGTCAAAATAGAGCACCTAACCCAACAAAATGGATACAACCATATGGTGTAGGGTACAACCAACTAACGGCACTTTAGAGGTTAGTTGAAATGAGACAGCATCACTTAGAAGAAACAACTTGTGCATCCATTGATGGGTTGGGTTTGGTAATCTTTCAACTTCTAACTTAATTTTGTCTCATTACTTTTCCCCTTTTGTAATTAGTTGGTTGCCAATTGCTTATCATCATGTTCTATTTGAGATGATGATGATGGATGTATATGGTCCAAATCGGTTAGTTGTAGTGTCAATTTCCAATAGATAAAGAAGAGATCGAAGTATCTAAGTTTTGGTTCTGTGATATTGGTTTGTTAAGTAGTATAATGTACCAAAAGACAACATAAACATCATGATTAATGTTTTGTTAAGTAGTATGATGGAAAAATTGGTTGATCCATACATGATTCGTCGGCCCCGAAACCGTTACTAGTTCTGGTTCTATGTTCCTGGTCTTATAAACGTCGATCTCTCTCGTACGTATTCAATATCAATTATTCGTGGAAACATGTTTGACTAATGCTTTTGAAATGAAGCGAATAGTAAATGTGTACCTGACTTCTTAGCACATGAATAAGTAAATTAGTATGTAAAAATTAAAAAAAAATTCGATATATAGAGAGTTTAGCGTAACCTATTATCTCAATGAACGGAAAGTGCGTGCATTGAGTCATCGAGAGAGAGAGAGTTAAGGGTTTGGTCATCATGGGGTTAGGGGTTTGATCCATGTCCATGAGTATAAAGTTCGATCTCTCTGTTACCGAATATGTACTACTTCGTGTCATCACCCGATAAATTAGTTATTATCATCATCAATGGATATCGTGAGTATGCATACATCATACATCAAACAATTTACAGAAAGAAGGGTATTGGAGCCCTTAACGAGTTCATCATGTGCCATCTCTAGGGCACTTATTCACCCGTCTATCAGTTGAGATTTACTCCTACTGATCTTGAAACTTAAACTACATGGCGCTGTAAAAAAAAAAGACATCAATGTGCAGCTGTACAAAGATCGATGTCTTCATAGTAAATGGCGAAATAAATAAGTTAGTTATTATCGTGAGACTGACGGTGACGACCGGTAAAAGTTGTTAAATATTTAATAATCGCTGCTGCCTCTCAATTGCTATAATAACTAACAAGTGCACTGAAACTTTTGCTTCTAAGTCAGACTTGCGGAATGATGAAAATATAATTTAACGGTCCATTAAGTGAATACACAATAATGTGAGTCGGAGCAGATCGACGTAAAAGACAAAATATATTATAGATTGATTATTGAATTAAAAAGATTTGAGAAACGAAATGCTTTGTTATAAAAAAAAAAAAGAGAATGACATTATCAATGTAGAGTCGGATATTTGGGAGATTGAGGCGCTCACAATTGTCTACTTACTCATATGGATGATGTTGTGGCAAGTAAATTGAAGGTGACTTACAGGCATTTACCTCATAACAACAATGGGCATTTGGTCTAGTGGTATGATTCTCGCTTAGGGTGCGAGAGGTCCCGAGTTCAATTCTCGGAATGCCCCTTTTTTTGGATAAATTTTTGTATGTCATTTGTGAAAAATACGCTCGTATCCTTTTAGACTATTATATTTAAAATTTCTGGATATGATGTTACAAATTTTCTTAGAACGTAGATGTTGATGTTTATTGAAATTTCTTTGATATATCGTTTGTAAAATTGTGAACGAATGAGCGAGATTTTCAGTCTACGAGCTACGGATGGCTAAAAGGATAAAGTGAGTCAGAGTGAGTCTAGACTCTAGAGAAAATTCATCTTAAAACAGCCAATACTCTGGTGGCGGTGGGTTTGCACTTTGATGTCAAATTTGGCTCCACGCACAGTATGAGTTGAGTCAGCCCAGATCCGGCCCATATGATCGGGCCAGGGTAGACCCTATTTCTATGGATTCAAAACTTCATGGATTAATGCCCCATCCAGCGCCGCAAAATTACTACACTTGGTTTATAACCAAAAAAAAAAAAAAAAAAAGACTACACTTGGGTTGGACCACTTTGGGCGACTTTGGTGACCTATTTTAAGGTTGAATAAGTTAGACCAGAATTAGCTGAGCTAATCGTGTTTGGTCATTGGTTGAATAATTTGTAAAACAATATTTGAGGTTATCGTAAAATTAAGTAATAAAATATTTTATAATGCTATTGTGGTATAATTGTGATCTACTTGTGATTCAATCATTTTATATAGGTAATAGTCCTACTAATGTGGACTCCAACAGATGATTTCTCTAGTCGAATTGTCAATATGATTTTGCAAATAATGACCACGAAGTGCCAATCGGTGGCGGCGTAGTTGGCCGGTATGGACACGTATCATTTACTAAGAAAATGTATACATGTGCAGACTGTCTAGAATTTGGAGGTCTCAGGTTTGAATTCCTTAACACGATGTCAATAGTCTCAGGTTCAAATCCCTTAATAGTCCCAGGCTATCGTAAAAGTAACTAATAAAATATTTTATAAGACTATTGTGGTATAATTATGATTCAATCGTTTTATATAGCTAAAGCCCTATTAATGTGGACGCCAACAGTTGATTTTCCCAGTCGGATCGTCAATATTATTTGCAAATAATGACCACGAAGCACCAATTAGTGGCGGCGTATTTGGGCGGTCTGGACATGTATTCATTTATTTACAAAATCAATACATGTCCATACCTCCTACAACCTAGAGGTCCGAGGTTTAAATCCCTTAATTAGTACCTTAATCACAAAAAAACTAATCTATATCACTCTTATAAAAAAACGAAAATCAGCAAAATCACTTGAGTTGGGATGGCAATTTGAACTCACCTTGTCGGGTATTATCGGACCTGACTCGCGATGGGGTGACCCGAGACACAGTAGTATGAGACGGGGCATTTGTATTTACTTTCAACTCGCCCGCCCCCATTTTTTGCTCTTTTGATCTCAATTTCTTACAAAATCTATTCATATTTTTCCGATTTTGACTTTTATTCAACTAGTTATGCTTAATTTTTCAACTAGTTTTACTCATTTTATTATCATTCATTTTATTTTTAAAGTGTTTTCCTTCATTTTTTCATAAAAAATAAACTTTGCGTATATCTTTTTTCAAATAACATGCAAGAGTAATTTGACCCGGCCCGTCCATACCTTTGCGGCCGAATATTGAAGTACCCGTATTGTCCGCCCTATTGCCATCATTAAACTGTGTCACTTGGTGAAAATTAATGTTTAGTTTAAGGTTGAAAAAGTCAGACGAGAATTAGGATTATTATTATTATTAAATCCAAAAGCGAATCCTCTGTCGAAAAAACAAGTAATAAAATGGAAAAACAGGCATTTTACACGAACCACAAGAGCGCTACCGCCAGCGAGCGGGCTGGAATCAGTGTCTGTCGGCGGCGTCGGTCTGGCAAATGGAATCCAAGTCAAATTTCGGTTCTTGACGAAACCCCATAGGAAGCTTCCCCCGTCCGCGATTCAGTTTTTTCGAAATCCGTCGCTCTCATTCTCTGTTATTTCTTCTTTTCGACGCCGGCCACGGAATTCTAGCTCGAGGGCTCGACAGATGGCGGTGATTTGAGCCGCCGATCTAGTGTGTTATAACAATACCCTCATCTTCCTCAGTTGGATTACATGGTCGATTCCCGCCAAGATCAGGAGCAGCAGGAGCCGCTTTTGCTTCCATCTCCCGGTTCGTTTCTCCTTGTCCTTTACCCTTTCTGATTATGCCCGTTCGGCGATGGGATTGATTGGTTGTTGTTTTGCTGTTGGGAATCGGTCGTGTGTGGATGAGAATGACGGGAAGGTGTTTGTCGAATTGCGTCTATGAGAAAAGACTGATGGGTGGGATGCTTGTTAGTGGAATTCTGTTAGTTGGGGATGATATCAGCTGAGAAAGAACGAGACTTTGAAGTGTTTTTTTAATCCTAAGTTTTTGTAAGTGTCTACTACTATGTCTTAAGAGGACGAGGGGTTCCCTTTTTTCTTGACATTTCCAAGAGTTATACAACTACGAATCTTGAGCAGAAGGGGGGCATGAATTGGACCTCTGTTTCTGTTTGTTAGCAGTTTGTTAGTAGGTAGAAGTAGGAGTCTGATGGGACTCTGTTGGGGTTGCTAAAAATCAGTGAAGTTCGTCAGTTTGCAGCAAATTGGACTCTGCGTTAGCATCTAGATGAGCTAATTCAGACTGTAAGTTTCTCAGGATTGTTGATCATGCCAGGTGAAACAATGGAAGAAGAAGAAGAATCATCACCAGCAAAACCAGCCACTACATGGAGGGACAGAATTTCAGAATTCAAGGCCGAGTTCTGGCTAGCATACAACGCCAAGGCAGTATCGCACTGGATCCTTCTGTTTCTAAGCAGCCTCGCCATGCTCGTGGCCTTCCCAGCTTCGAGCCTCTTATCCCGTGTCTACTACTCCAATGGCGGCACAAGCAAGTGGGTCATCTCATGGGTAGCAGTTGCCGGGTGGCCCTTGTCTGCCTTAATCCTCCTCCCAACGTATGTCATCTGTAAAAGATCGCCTACTCCCCTCACGTTCAAGCTCGTTGCATCATACATTGTTCTCGGGTTCCTGAGTGGAGCAGACAATCTCATGTATGCATACGCCTACGCTTACCTCCCGGCTTCCACCTCTTCCCTCTTGGCTTCATCGTCGCTCATCTTCTCCACATTGTGTGGCTACTTTATAGTTAACAACAAGCTGAATGCCTCCATGATCAACTCCATTGTCGTGATCACTGCTGCCATGGCGATCATTGCCCTGGACTCGGACTCCGACAGGTAGTACATATGTGCATTTCATTCCCGGTTAAGGTTGATACCAAATAAAAAACTGTTTTCTCATAATTATTCCTCGTATGTATCTGATTGAGGTGAATGCGCAGGTATGGGAATGTAAGCGACAAGCAGTACATCATGGGGTTCATATGGGACATCCTGGCATCGGCTCTCCATGGCCTGATCTTTGCCCTCTCGGAGCTAGTCTTTGTCAAGCTCCTGGGACGGAGATCCTTCCACGTTGTCTTGGAGCAGCAGGTGATGGTGTCCTTCTTCGGCTTCTTGTTCACCTCAATTGGAGTCATTGCGAATCATGATTTCGGAAAAATGAGCTCCGAGGCTGTGAAGTTCAAGGGAGGCGAAAGTGCGTACATTCTGGTACTGGTGTTTGGTGTGATTACGTTCCAGGCCGGGATCTTGGGTGGAACTGCTGTGCTGTTCTTGTCGAACACTGTGCTGGCTGGGGTGCTTAATGCGATTCGGGTGCCTCTCACCAGCATTGCTGCAGTGATCCTGCTGCACGATCCAATGAGCGGGTTCAAGATTCTGTCTCTAGTGATTACTTTCTGGGGATTCTGTTCTTACATCTATGGAAGTCTGTCTTTCTCACCCAAGAAAGAAGCCATTCCATAGTGATCCCTTTAGTCTAAACCATTAATCATTATTGTTGCATCTTTTAGTTTATATCAGCCCATTGTATCGTACAAAGGTATTTGAACATATAGCCATTGAACAACAGCAATATTTGGTTGGAATGAAGCAGAATACGCAGCTATTATGTAGTTTAACGTCAGCTTTCTTTGTCCACCTATCTACAGAGATGAACCGTACCAAATCTCGTACTAGACTACTCGTGACTTGCCACAATTTAATAACGATTTTATGACATATGAGATGGCTAAGCAACAATTTCCTAGCCATTTCAGCTAAAAAGAACAAAACCAAATCCATCCTTTGTTGCAAATTGCAGCCAGGTTCAGAACCAGCATTCAACATGAGGGCGACAGAACATGAGACCCTAAAGAGTAAAGGCTCAATTACTAACGATGACTCGATGAGCCTTTTAATGTAGTCCTGAAATACAAGACTTCCTCATCGTGTACAGATATATGAAACACATCCAATTCAAGAACAGATCACCAAACACAGGATAACCAACATCGATATTAACCATTCGTCTCAAAGCAAAGAACAGAAGGACATGAAGTAGAAAGTATTCGTCTATGTATCCTTCTACAGCCAAGTAACAAGTAGCAGCACTGCAATCAGGAAATCAAGCAGCAGCTGCTTGCTCTGGGCTTTTTCTATCTCCCCACTTCGAGACCAAACATTATGAGATTTTGTTTCAAACACCACAACCGACACATTCTTGATAAAAAAAAGGGAAGTTTTTGTTCAAAGACATGCATAGTAGAGATAAGAATCATCGTCAGCCCCCATAAAAACCAGTTGTTTTGCAATCAACTATAGCTAAAGTGCTACAGCATCATCTTCTTCTAGTTCTTGCCAATGTCCTTGAGACCATTGATCTGTTCCTCTCCCATTGCTGACATGACTGACACCACGAGGTCCTTTCCTTCTGCAAACCCATCTTTGATCTGATTGAAAAACAAAGAACCAATGAATTTTTTCAGTTTATAAACAACTTCAACAGCTGTGTCCAGCGAAATTCAAAATGAATAACAAGCTGGTGAAAAAAGGTGTGTTGGATCTTACCTGAGCAAGCAGAGCCTCATCGGTGGGAAGCCTCAGGTCGTCTTTGGTGTTCCCATTCTCAGTCAGAAGACTCACCTTCAAGGTGTACAAAAGAAACTGGATTAGCTAAAAGCTCAGTGAAGTAAGCAAAAAACAAGGACCTGTACATTTGTACTGCCCAACGGAAATTCCATGCTTGAATGATACAAAAGCATGCAACTTTTGCAACCTCAATTAGTACTTACAAAGCCATCTTCAGAGATGTCGATGAGCTGATAATCAGTACGGTTGACATGTGGAACCTGTAATGCGAAAAACAAAATCAACCAACTTTAAGCGAGAAGCACATAAACACAGCATAAAAGAAGTACACGGAACAAGCTAAAAAGCTGCAAAATTACATCACAGTTATGGGACGAAGGAACAATATCCTCAAGCTTCTTCCCATTGAAGATATCAATGGCCACAAAGTGACACTTAGCGTGGCCGTGCTTGCCAGTCTTTGAGGTGGAAACCTCAACAACCTGTTCAAAGCAAAATAGTGAAAATACACCGATTAATGGATCACAAAAACACAGTTCGGAAGGACAAAAGGCTATGACTTGTATTATTCCATTCATATCTTTACACAGTACCCTCAAGAGCCAGTCTCTGATAGAGACCACAGTCCACAGCAACCGGCTAATGAAAATTTCATCACCGTATACAAACAGTTGGCAATCAGATAACTAAAACGCCATTAACAGCCATAGGGACCATCAACACAACACAACCCAATCACAAACTATTCTAGAGAGGGTATTAGTTGCCAATCGGCTAACCAAATCGTTACTAATTCGACACATCAACACAACCCACAAAATACTATTATGCAGAGTAAGAACATCACCATCAGACGAGTGACAGTGGATCGATCCATCAATCCGATACTCATAAGCAACAAATACGATAACCCACAAAAAATCGGATGAACCCAGATCGAAAAAAGGGTTTGTGGATAAGAAGGATCCAAGATACAGACCTTGCAGGGACGGTTCTTGATGACTATGTAGCCATTCTTGCGAATGGTACCAGCCTGCTGTGGGTAGGTCTTGGAAGCTCCGGCATCAGCCTTGGATTCGAACTGGTGCTCCTCGTCCGACATGGTTGCTTGAGGGATTTCTCTTTTTCTCTGTGCAACGGCGAGGATTTGGAGTAGGGATTTGAGGGAGAAGACGACGACCTGATTGTAAAGCCGAATTCCTATTTTATGGCGAGTTAGGTTAAGCTCTCTCCGACTTAACCACGGTTAATCATACGGCCATACGATTTGATCCTGGCCGTTGGATATTCCCTTGAGGTTTAGCCCTTGTGTACAAATTTTGTTTTCTGCCCCTACTTCTATTTTCCTCTACCGGATTGGCTCCTGAACTTTTACATGTGATCATTCCGGTATATTTAAATTTTGACGTTCAGATATGATTTTTTTTAAATTGAAAAAATGAGGCGCAAGGCACAAACTTTATGCAATAATATTCTGGGAGTTTCAACTCCAATGTGATCAAAGAACAACTCTATCCAAGAAAATCATAAGATTGAAAACTGGTATCTCAAAGACAAAGAATGGCCAAGCAAAGTTACATGATCGATGGTAAAGATAACCTCTAAGATATGTATATTCTCTAATACCGTTGAGTAATGTGAGTGTGAAGGTGTGACTGCCTTCATCGGTTGTTTGGTTATACTAGAGTTTACATATAGAAGTATTTTCCTAACCCCTAGTTCTCAAATGATCTTGACGTCATGCACAATTCGAACCAGCTTTGCACGGGTGATTGAACTCCCTCCAAGGTTCGTAGGAAAAAAAGCTATGATATAACGATCATTGTCCCTGCTCTCTCGCCCTCACAATGTTGCCAATTCTCGTACTATATAGGTGGAGAATGAATGACAAACCCACCTACATTTAGGCATGCCCAGCCCTGATATAGTAGTCTCTAGCATAAAGGCATAATCCATTCGCTCCAATTAACTACCAAATGCATACTATCTTCTCAAAGGTCAAAAACGATCTACTACCTTAGCTACTTTCTAACTTTCCGTGCTGCTAGATTTGTGCATCGAGTCTCAATTTCACATCGAAACAAATTGATATTCTTAGGTTATGATGGGTCTTCTGTTTTTAATCTCGATGCGCACGTTCTATGATCATTTTGATGATTTCAAGTATACAACCTAAGTACCTAAGTAGTAACTACATGAGCAGAATATGTGTGTTCGGATCGCACAAATCGAATGAATATCAAGATAATATGTCTAGATTGCATGCTTTCTCCAAGATCTTGCTTCTTAGTTTTCTATTTTGTCCATTGTTCCATTACTTCTTTTGTCAACTAAACTTGGTAAGTTTCCATATTTCCTCTCCCTTTTTCATTGATTCTCTCCTCTGGTCTTTGTGCTAGTCTTTGTGCTAGTGGTGTTGAAGGTATGTGGAATCCGGTGCTGAACTGACCATGGGAGTGGGATAGTGCCTCCTGGGTCCCTTGAACATCAAGGAGAATAGTATTCTCGTGGACTAAAATCTCAAAGTTTTCTTCTTTCGGTAGCATCATTTTCTTTGCATGAAATGTCTTCACAATTGGTCCACCACTAACACCACCTCTTCTCAACAAAAAAACACTCCTCGTCGAGACGTCGACGAATAATCTTAACGCAAGAGAGCAGAATACACTGATTCGAAATTCGTAGAATTCAAATCAACCACCTCAAAAATTTTATCCTAACGCTCATGATATTCGGGCAATGATACACTCAACTCTTTACTAAATCTTGCTAAGGTACCTATATATGGGCTAGAAGACTGTTGGGCTGGGTTGGCGCTTTCTTGGGCCCACAGCTACTACCAAGGCCTGGTCCACAAACGTTCTCCCACACAACTTCTTTTGTGTGCACCAATGATGAATGATCACAAGTTCGTTCTCAATAGTTTCACTTGCAGGAATCACTTATCATAAGGTTTTCTTTTAAGACGAGGCATCACTTAATTTGTACTTGAAGGTAGAGATTTTTCATTTGTGCTTCAATCAACTTTTAATAATGGAGTCGTGGAGATTCGAACATACAACCATTTGATCAAATCAGCTCTGATATCATATCATAAACCAATTAATCATAATAATTCGAGTTGTTGAAACTCGAGAAAAGGGTAAATTATAGATCTTGTATCAATGGCTTACACGCTATAGCATTGACAATACAAATCGTACGGAATCAAACAGACAAAATTAACTACTTCGAGTTCAATAGTAAATTGCGACGATGAAAATTTTATGTAATCAAAGATGAACTGTTATATGGAATGATGGTTGGTGATACCAATTTTATATTCAACACATGCGATTCAATCGATACGAACCGGTCGAGCTAGTGCAGGTTCACATATTAAGGTCCAACAGTTGATTGCTTTTTCTCCATGGTACTTGTGAAGTTACAACGTGTGAGGAATGGGCACTCTAACCTTTAGAATGAAGAGAGGAAAAGGAACATAAACACAAGGATTCTCTGCTTTTGAGTCCTGCCCATGAATCGATGTTGGCGAGGTTGTGTGACTTGTGAAATATGAATGACACAAAGACACACACTATACAATAATTGTTCACACCAAACATAAACTATATAACTCGATAAGAGTTCATGTATACCCCTAAAAATTGGATACAGAAAAAATATTTTGATGATCATACCTCCTGTAGAGTATGGTTTCACAAACACCGAAAAATATATTAGGCTGATTTTGAAAATTTAATTTTCTCTTGCTAAAACCTTTCCTTGACCTTGTGCCATCATTCATTGGGTAGGATACTTCATACTTGGGTAGTTTATATTGCTGGAATAACTTGATAATGTGCTCTCTTGGTTAGGTGTTATAGGTTTGATTGTGTTGCAACGAATCAATAAAATAGGTGATTTTGAATTAGAGGTTTCAGGTCCAAATCCATATGATGGCTTACAATTTGTAAAATCTCTTACAAGAAAGGGAGAGAGAAAAAAAAAGAGGTTTGTATTATGAGGCTAATTTCTATTATTCATCTTTCAACCCCTTGGTCGAGCTCTGTTATG